CAATGCAACATTCCACAAAAACATTTACTGCACTTCCTTTCCCGAGCATTTTTTTTATGCATCTTTGAATTTCAATTCCTGCCACTATGGAAGATCTATTCTTAAGTGAAAGGCTGTGTTTTGCTGATTTGTTCACGATTCACATTCCCGTGAAGTTTACAAAGACAGAAATTTCCATTTATAAAAGCATTTTTGTTCTGTTGGAACTATATAGAAGGTCTACTTCATTATGCTTTTGTTCGATTTCTAGTCTCAAGAAGCTGTTAATGTCATTTTGGAAGACTAACGTGGGAACATCTCAGCACATCATCGCTCTGTTCTAAGTACTGGTAGACAGTTGACTTCGGATAACCTAGGAGGCATTCATGCTTTCATTTCACAGACCTTCATTGCTTGTCTGACATGGGCACCGGGGATCCATTAGGGAGCTAAGCAAAACTCCCTGTGCTCATGGAGGGTATGTTCCAGCACCAATAGCCTAGAAATGTACCTACTCTGTTGCCCCAGGTGAGAAGTAATCCGACCCATGTCCATGGTTGTCTTCCTTTATCCAAGATCACTTCCAGCCTCACCCTCCAGAATCTGCCACGTGACTATGCAGGAAGACTAAGTCATGAAAACTACAATGCACTTTCATATAGAAACAATAGAATATATGATTGCCAGGCATATGTGGTATATTGCAAAAAAAAAAAAAAAAATGGCCACAGATCTTCCCGTCCTTGTTGCATGCTCTCTTATAAATGACTTTGCCACAACTTCGGTCAGGAGGTGAAGTCCATTTGTCCACTCCTGTGGGTTTAGACGGGCTTCTGTAAGATCCTTTGACCAGCAGAATGCAGTAAGAGTGACGTCATGGAAGGTTCTGAGCCACGGCCTTACAAGGCCCTACAGCTTCCCTGGCACTTCTTCCTTAGGAAGAAGCCCTCACTGCCCTCCTTGAGGGTTCAGAGGCCATGTGAAGCAGGAATTAGCTTTGTGGCTGAGGATTCCTAGACCAAGCCAGCACCATCCCCCATGCCTGGAAATGAGGCCATTATAGACCATCTAGCGCCAGTCAACTGCCAGATGGATGCAGCTGTATGAGTTTTCTCCAGCTTAAAATCTCAAGGTGCTCATCATCAACATCAATGCAAATGGTTTTTATTAATAATTGAAAGCGGTAAACAGTTTGTGTATGTATTAATATAGATATTCATATTTCCCATCTGTTATTAATTACGTAGACTTCAGAAGGTTGGCTTTGAGAAATGCCTTTCACATTTTTTTTTAAAGATTTATTTTAGAGTGAGGGAAGGGCAGAGGGAGAGAGTGGATCTCAAGCAGACTCCCCACTGAGCACGGAGCCTGATGGGGGCTTGATCTCACAACCCTGAGATCATGACCTGAGCCTAAATCAAGAGTCGGACACTTAACTGATTGAGCCACCCAGGCACCCTGCCTTCCACATTTTGAATGTGATCCACTTAGAGACCAGTTTTGGACCAGAGAATCCCCTAAAGTTTGGTGGCTAGCTGTATGTGCTCTGTGGAGAGATTAGCCACTAGCAAGTGTGATACTGTAGTTGTTGGATGGTAGAGGTTTTCTCGGGGCACATGGACCTGCTCATGGTTGTGGGTAGTTGGGGTATACTTGGAAAGGCAGGGGTCTAAGATGATCCTGATCAGAATTTGGACAGATATGCTTTCATTGAACTGAGAATTGTCTCTTTACCGGAAGTGTTAATGAACGTTATGACTCAGTACTTTCAGTCCAAAGTGGAAAATGGACATCTGTCTCCACGAATTAAACAGAAACATGGTGGGGGCCACTCCACGCACTTTTCCCTCTTTTTCCCCAAAAGTCGTGGTTTTTTTGTGTGTGTCTAAATTCACAAAGGAGGCCTGGGAACATAACCTGTGCATAAGTGCTTTATAAACACCATTTTATCTAACACGCTCACTGATAATACTTACAAATAAATAAGCAAAGTCAGTAGGGTCCCAGTTTACTTTTACAATGAGGATACACTGTATGTTGTACGAAGTGGTCTAAAAAGAACACACCACCGTGGTTGAAGAATTTGGGATGTTGCATATGTTAAGTATACAGGGAGAGTTTTCAAAAGTGCTTTTTACGCTACTTCCCTTTTGCGGTAAGACCCGCATTAGCACCTGTTCCCACTAACTGAAAGAAGTCCGAAGAGCATCTTTGCTTTGACGCAAACAGGCAGAAAGCAAAACTAGTGTTGAGCGTGGGTTCTGCAGCTGGCCCTTCCAGAGGCAGCGCGCCCCCCTGAGCAGCAAGAGCGACCCCACCGGGCTCCTTCCCCAGGACCTAGACCCCGCATCTCTGCACCACACTGCTAGAGCTTTGAACTGGGTCTGTGAGCACAGTGCTTTATTGTGATTTCACTTGGGCAGTGGTTAGTGAAGTGTGTCCTCAGGTCTGTGAAAAGTCTGAAAGTTTATTTTTTGCGTCTGGAAACACTCAAAGAATTCTCCATATAAATTAATGGCGATCGCGTCTTTATGCTAATTTCGCCTGTGAAAGTTTTCTTAGGGAGAACCCGTATTGCTATTCAGGTATCTGTTCTGGTCAGGGGATCAAAGCAGCTACGTGGTACTGTAAGGAAATAATTGAGAACGTTTATTAGTGATAAAGTTAGAATCAGGAAAGCACATTTTTAAATGTACAACTGAAGGATATATACGTATCCGTCAGTTGTTCCATAGGAGGAGGTAGGTTCTCTATGAAGATGATTTCTGTGGAGGTGATTGGGTGTGTTTGACATAAAGAGGGAGTTCACTTTATGATTGATATACTGTCCAGAAATTAGTGGCTTTAAGAAAACAATGGCATCGTCATTGACATCATCTATAGGTCTTAAAAGATTTGACTGGTTTAACCTGGGCTCCACTGGGCACTTTGCCTTCTCATTGTAGGACTGGGGATCCACTCTGCTCTTAATGCCTCTCATCCTCCTTTGACGGGGGGGGCTAGCCTGGGCATGTCCCTCCACAGCTGGCAGAAGCTCCCAAGGGCAAGCAGAAATGCCCAAAGTGCTTTGTTCTTGGCTTGGAGCTGGCACATGGACATTTCTGCCTCAGTCTCTTGGCTAAAGCAAACCACGTGGCTGAGCCCAAAGTCAGGGGTGGGGTGGGGGCATGAAACATACTTGACCTTTATGGGAGAAAGTCCAAAGTCATGTAAAAAGGGCATAGATACAGGGAGGGGTGAAGGATTGGGGCCAGTAATGAAACATATACCACTTTATCTTCGTGCCTCTTAAGAGCCAAGACTTGCTAAAAACGAGCACGAGGGTAAATGAGAGATGGTGTGTACACAGTTTGGGTATAGTTTGGTCTTTGTATAACGAAGACATCTTCCTGCCTGCCTTCTATACCAAGGGTCTTGAACTAAAGCTTGTCGAGCCACATTCTGTCCAACGCTTGTTTTTGTAAATGATTCACTGGAGCACAACCATGCCCATTCTTCAGTGCATGCATTGTATATGGCTGCTTTGGCCCTGTAGCGAGAGTTGAATATGTGTCCTTGTGACAGAGACTGGCCCACACAGCTGAAGACATTCACTGGCCCTTTACAGAAAAGGCTTGCTGACCCCAGTTTTATATTACAGGACTGAATATGCGAAGCAAATTCAGTTGTGATTCCCTCCCACCCTCCCCCCCCCAAGCCCTTTTAGGGTTTTTCTAGTGTGCCTTGCATTCTTATTCTTGTGTATTTCTATAATATAGGTAAAACAGGGAGATAAAATAATCCCGGCACTTGAATTTTGGCGCTGAAAGCCAATACAATTTGCATCCACAAGCTATAATCCTGAAACCAGAGTTGACAAGCCAACAAATTGCAGACTATAGAACACACAAAGGAGGGAGCCAGTTGCTACTTTTGCCTTTACTGTTAATGCTTTGTGGCTCTGTAGGTCATTCATGCTGTTAGACAATAGGGTGGTTGTTTCTGTTCTGCTGAAAGACAATCTGATTGTGCTCTGTGTGGGATGAAGTGCAAACCTGTTCACCTCTGCTCCCAAGAGAAGTGCTACAGACCTTTGTCTCCTCAAATGTACTTGTCAGCTTTTGGTGTTGTGGTGGGAGGCCCAGGCTTCTGGGGTCAGCATATTTTCCTGCAGCAATTTTTTTTAATTAATAAAAGTACTTTTTTTGGCAAAATATTACAAAGAAAATTTAAAAAAAGGACCCATTGCATTATACACACACCCCCTTAGCATGTATTTATAATGGTTTTAACTAGGTGGGACTTTACATAGTTTAAAATCCATAATCTTCGTGTATGTGTGGAAGTATGGAAAACGTTTATAATATGGTGTACCATAAGAAACATAATTTAGAATTGCTGCAGGTCCCCTGGTGCAGCTGTATAGTGTGTGTGTGTGTGTGTGTGTGTGTGTGTGTGTTAGACAGAATGACGTCCCTGGAAAGATATTCATGTCCTGATACCCAGAACCTAAGAATATGTTACCTTTTGTGGCAAAAAGTGCTATGCAGATGTAGTTAAAGGTCTTGAGATGGAGAAGCTACCTTGGCTTATCCTGGTGGGCTCATTGGTAAAGGCATCCATGACTTGCCTCTTGGCGCGGTTGGTCATGGCCGTGCAGCTGTCGGTGGGATCCCCAGCCCTTGATTACTTCTTGCGGGAGGAGTGGTCCACGGGTGGAATTCCAGAATCTCCTGGTCTTTGCAGTTTTCTTCACAGACAAAATGAGATTTTGAGAGTTTTCATTTCTTTTTATTTGTCCCAAGGCAGATGTTATGTATTTGGAGCAACAAAATGAAGATCACTTTGAAAACGTCCTTATGAAAAGTCCTCTAGTCTTCTGGCTAATTTTTGTGAGTCCTCATGTGAAGGCCTTGGCTTAGCTGGATAAATCAGAGTCCAACTGTCTTCTTAAGCTTCAAAATAAGCTGCTGATTACCCTGCCTGATGGTGTGCAGGCTAATCAAATAGACTTGATATTTCAGCTGACTCATTCCAGATACTTTCTTCTGCTCCTTCTGGGTCCTCCTGGATCTGCAATGTGTAGTAAGGAAAACTGAGTCGTGGGGGAGACAGAACTTTTTCTGTCACTGTGAACTAAATCATGAATCATGCTCTTTTGGCTTTGATTTGTTAATATATAATGGACCCTTAAATGTTCCTGGAAGGTCAGCAATGTTAATTTGGCTCCTACCCCAAGCTCCGTTCCCTCTGATGGTTGTTGCATAATGTATCCTGGCTAGAATCTGTTTATTCTGATCGTTACTGTCTTGAATTTCATCACCTATCTTGAACTGAGTGGAGATGCAGGCTGAGCACGTTTATTCCAATTGAGACCACATTTTGATTTGAGATGGGGAAAGAGGGACAAATATATGAATATACTTAATTGAGCCAAAGACCGTGACATAAAATCTTATTGAGAGACGCAGATGTGGAGGGTAGAAAGTATGCTGAACAGTGAGGTTCAATCACCAGGGTCACCCCCACCCCTGAGCACAGGGAAACTAAAGACACTTGGGCAGAAAGAAAATACTATCAGTACATTTTTTTCTTTTTCAGCTGCAGAAAGGGCTAGAACCAGGACCTTTGCAGTCTTTCACAAACCTCAGTTAGACGGTTTCCACATGGGATAAAATGGATGTTTTCCCAGCATCCTCAGTTCTCGAGAAGTGGGGGAGGTGGTGCCTCCAAAACCTTCTGTAGTTTTTTGTGAGAGGGAAGAACCGCATGTATCTCAAAGCTCAAGGGAAGAGGGCTCCCTGGCCTACTTCAAGGCATTCTCTAAATTAGGCAAGAGAGTCTAGGAATTCCTTTTTCGGGATTCTGCTGCAATCCTATGCAGCCACACAGCCTGAAAGGCTAACATTCCTTCCCTGCCTTTCAGAGGTGGGTTATATTGGGGTAAATGGTGGAGGTATAGAAAAATCATCTTTGTGCTCCCACTTTGTCCTGCCTGTGGTATAAACAGCTAGGGAGCCAGGGTCCCCTCAGTGCGTGTGCGTGTGCACACTTGCTTGTGTCTTGCTCGTGTCTCTCGCTCCTGTCTCTCTGTCTCTCTGTCTCTCTGTGTCTCTCTCTCTCTCTCTCTCTCTCTCTCTCTCTCTCTCTCTGTCTGTCTGTCTGTCTCTCTCCCCCCGGGCTCTCTCATGTTCTCCTGACAATACTTCCAGTTGCTTAATTGATTACCTAGATTTTTGTTGACAATTAGGGTCTTTTCAGGAACATTTGTGGCCCCAGTGGGACTCCTTGCCATCTCCAGTTTGCTCAGCAGACACTTGAGTGCAGGGCTCCAAGCAAGCCTGTAATTCAGTGGGCCGGGGATAGCCCCCACTTGGAAGGCATGCCAGTGTTCATTTGTTCTGTGGGAGACCGGCGGAAAGGCAGGGCGCCCTACACGAACGTGAGGGTTGGCAGCCTGGAAGCCTCTTTTCGGGACTCTCTAGACCAGGGCCACTCAGCTTTGACTGCACCTTGGTATCCCCTGAGGAGCTATTACAAGAGGGCTGGGGCCCGGGCATTCTCCAGGTCACTACATCCAGCCTCTGAGGGGGAGAGTCGGTGGCCCCAGTGTCTTATGAGAGCTCCCCAGGTGATCCCAACTTGAAGCGAGGGCAGAGGAGCCCCGCAGTAGCCCAGGTGTCTTCCCTGCCTGGCTTGGGGAGGGTGGACTCCTGGTGGCTGGTGTTGAGAGGCTGGGCTGTTGGCTCCCTGGGTCTGTCCTGTTTTTTATGGCATGGACTGTTCCAGGTGAAGCGACCTGGCCCTGTTTCCACAAGCCACCTTACGGCGGGCTCCTGTCTTCCCTGTCCTCCTTTAGGGGGAGCAGCGGCAGGTGCGGTTTCAGGGTTCTGTCCCTGTGGCTGCTTCTCATGCCCACCTCTCTGCCACCCTTGAGCGCAGCATCAGCGGACAGCACATGGTGTTGATGTCTGCACGGCCCCGTCTCACTGCCAGGGCTCAGAAAGTGGGCTGGCTTCTTCAAATGATCTTAATGCTTTGCTTTCCAAGCCTTCACGGTCTGGGGCCCACGTCTGCAGGGCTGGTGTCTGACGTCCCTGGAGAGGAGCCACATTCACTCCTGGCCCAGCATGCAGCAGCTCCAGAGCCTTCCTCAGGCTCGCTCCTGCATTATTTACCTCCTTGGCTGCCCGAGCGCCGCGTTCCACTTCTCAGCAGATCGGGGTGAATTTCCAAGAGGGAAAACTGCAGATGGCTTTGCCTTCCAGATGGGCTTTTTCCTCCCCAAGTGACTCACTTGTGCTAAAGACCAAGCTCCAGCTGGAGTCGCTCCCGTCTCTCCCAAGCCCCTTTGCGCAGAAGGAATTATGGAGCCATTGGAGGGCTTGCACACGGTCATGGGACAACTCACTAGCTTTCTGCTGGACGGTTTCCACAAGACTCTGTTCTTTTTTGCTTTTTCGGTACCATTGACTTCCCCCCCCGGAAGTCTCTGTTCATCTTCTAATTTAGTTACAACCCCACTGTCCTTCCTTCTTGGGTGTGGGATAAGGCTCTGTGGACTGGCTTGGACTCCTGCTCTTCGCCGTGGCCGTGGGCAAGTCCCCGCACTGCCTCCCGAGAAGCAGCATGTAACGCCCTCCCCGAAGCGGGTGTGTGGTTCAGCTCCCTCCCGGGACCTCCGCTGCTGCCCTGGGTGGGACCACGGAGGGGAACGACGCTTCCTTAGCACAAAACAGATGTTTGCTCTCCTGCTTTCAGTGAAGGGGAAATGCACAGCTGCAAAATACTTGGAGTTCTAACCTTAGGCAGTCAGCAACACCTCGGCCATTTGAAAATGAATTTTAAGGCGTGAGAGACTTCAAACATGAGAGCTTTTTGTGTGTGTGACATGTCTCTTAGATGACAACCTTTTGATTCCTCTCCTTTCTCTCCCCTTTTGTTGAACGATACCTTTAAAGGGGTGCCCGGAAATGTACGGAAAAGTGGTAGGCTCTCTTTTACTGCAACGAGCTGTTTTTCTTCCCCAACACTGTCCCTGAACCGATGTAATTGCATTTGGTTTGCCGAAGAGAAAAAGCATTTCTTCTGCCCCCATGTTTGCCTTCAGACAAGACATGCCTTTATCCTCTAGAAGGCTTGCCTCGTGCTAGTTATTAGGCTGTGTGTCTTGAACCAAATCCCATCCAAGGCTGGGCATCTGTACCTTAGCCGCTTGGTTTATAATTCTTAATTTAGCTGGGCAGAGAAGGATTGTTTTAAGGGCCAGCCTTCTGCTCCTTCCTCTAGAATTACAGACCAGTCTTGCCCATCAGTTTTTCCCATCTGAGGCTTTAATTGGATACCTCGCGGGTCAGTCATGAGCAACCAGGAAAGATCCAAAGGAGGTTCTTCATGATGCCTCCCACCGGGGCCTGGTAGAATCTTTTCCTCTTTAAAGGTTCCTACCGAAAGGCCTTTGTCGACTTCAGAGAGCTGCTTGCGATGGCTCAGGCTTATTTCTGCCTCTGCAGAGGCCGTTGGAAAGGGCAGCCCAGCCTCCCCGGCATTTAAACGGGTTGTCTGAAGGCTGTTGGACTTGGTGGGGCAGAAGCCAATCCTTTTCTTCTTTAAGGCAGAAGTATTTATTGAGCATTTTCTTTCTTGAGAGGTGGGAGGTGAAGCTTTCAACTTCCAGCCTAAGTTTTTCTGTCATTTAGAGGCAAGATGAAGATCCTGACATTTTCTGAGCTCATCTCCCACCGTATGAAAATGTTAGTTTTGATTACATTCACCTTGATTGTTTTTCTTCTCTAGGGGAGCTGACCCGTGATTTTGTGTCAAAGACTCGTATTTGCATATTCTGATCGGATGAGAGCCAAGCAGCAGGGCAGTTTTTCTTCCTAAAGGGCATCATTGGGGTCCCTGGTGCACGAGCGCAATACCATGGTTCTTCTGTCGATTCTTGGGAAATCTGATGGACATTGCATTTTATCCCTAAGTCTGATTTCCTTTTGGGTTTTATATTCTGCATGTTGAAAGTCACAGGTTGATCTTTCCAAACTTCCAGGCCAAATGTGTTTGAATAATAAACTTCTAGCATGAGGGAAATGAACAAAGAGTTCAAGATTTATGATAATTTGACCCATACTTGCATCACTGTTACAACAAAATAAAGGAGGATCGCTTGGGACTTAGGCTGTCTAATGGCATATGCTGGTTTTATTGAGCCAGAGACTCTATTGAATATATTTCAATGTCAGTGACACCAGAGGGTAACGAGTACTTTCCTGTCATCCTCTATGAATGTTAACAGCGTCGTAAGTAATAGAAGTTAGCATCTACCACACACATGTTACGTACCGGGTACTGTCCATCCTCAGTACTTGATATGAACTGGTTCCTTGAATCATCCCCAAACTCTGCTATTATCTTCGCTTTTCAGCTAAAGCAACGGTGGCTTAGAGAGGTTTAGGAACTCACCTAAGGTTTCCTGACAGCCGGGATTTGAACATCTGCAGTCTGGTTTGCGAATTCGCTCTTGGAGCCTCTCTTCACTGTCCATCTCTACTGCTCTCTGACACGTCACTTGTATTTTGCCAGAGGGAGAAAAACTCATCAAGGATGAGGCCGACTAAAATGCTCTTGAGTATAAATAGGCCATCTGTTGATCTCCCTGTCTTCAGGCCGGCAGCTCTTACTTCAGGCCAACACGTGGCAGAAAAAGATATTTATTGATGTCTTGAGGGAGAGTTAATGAAAAATAAATAGGCCGGGCAGCATCTTTAACCTGCCCTATTTTGGACCCAAATCCCCTCACTCCTGCTGCCCACAGGCCTCTACCTGTTGGCAGGTATCCCCACCAGCTGAGTGCTGGCCCAGCTTCTTCAGGGCCAGTGCTGTCTGCAGAGTAGGAGACACATAACATAGCCCTTAAGGGGGTTCTGCAAACCACCTGAGCTACAGAGACCTTTTTTTTTTTTGGGGGGGGCCCGGGGGGGTTTTCTCCTTTCCCCCCCCCCCCCCCCCCAGTTCCCGTGGGCCCCCTTCACTGCTCCTTTACTGTCTTCTCTTTGTTCTCCCAATAAGAAAAAGGATCTCGGGCCCCATGAGACTGCGGAGTCTTCTCGTCCAGACCACGCAGCTGTGCCGATCAGATCTGATCAGACCAGATCTCCTGTTTTCTGACTCATTCTCTTTTGTACTAGAATGCCTACCTTTGAAATCAAAGTGAAGACATACTAAAAATAGCACCATGCCTGGA